TCAACCAAACTAGTGGGAGGTCCATGGAAGCTGGGAATAGGAGAAACTTACCCGACCCCATCAAGGTTAGGACTCCAGGAAAAAACGGATCCTGAGGCGCCTGAGCCACTAAAGCATTGCCGGGGTGGGCTGGAGTTTTCTCCCATTCCTTCAGTTCCAATCCAAAGTCACAGCACCATTACTGTTAACCTGAAAGTTTGGTTAAAGAAGGCAAACAAGTTAGGTGATACATGATTATATAGTTTATTCCCTTTTAGCTAGCCAATCATGTCAACATGGAAGCCAGAATGTAATTCTGACTCGGAGATTAAGCAAAATGAGAGAGGTTTTATACAGTTTAGAGTGATCAGACTCAGGATGTCTGTGTTACAAAAAATACAGCCTCCATATGTTTGTTTAACATATAGCATGGGAAAGGAATTTTCTTAGTTGAATAAGGTTGTAAATACAATAAAACAGAAGAATGTCAAAGTGTCAATAGAAACTCAAGATAAGAAAAGTCCCATTATTCAAGAGAGTATCTGGTCCCAGATATCGTGGGCCTAGTTGATCAGTTCTATCTGTTCCTGGAATTTGCTGACACAGGAAGGGATGTTTTTAGTTCACTCAGAGAGAAAAAGATTAACTCAGGTTTTTGGCCCTTATTGGGGCTCAGTTGATCTTAAATGATTATCAACATGAACAAATCAATGTAGCCAGAATAAGAAAAGAAACTGTTAAGGGGGGGGGGACCTTTCATCAAATATCACTGATAAAAATATATCTGAGCTACATAGGAAATTAACGCAAATATATTAGATCAAAGGCCATTCCCTAATTAAAGTGTGCAAAGGCTATGAACAAATAATTCTCAAAAGAACTGCAAATTATTGACAGTCATGTGAAAACAGGCTCCTAATTATTAATAATAGGAGAAATGCAAATCAAGATGGCACTGAGAGTTCCATTCATGCCTTGCAAATTGGCAAAAAATGGGAACAATCTATGTTGAAGGGACTTTTGGGAGGCAAGCACACTAATAAACCGTTATCGAGCTGAGCTTTGGTCAAACTCTTCTGGGAAACAATGAAATAAGGAATTAAACTGTCCACACCCTTTGGCCTAGCAATCCCCCTACTGAGTATATTCCCCAAGGAGGTCAAAGACATAAAGAAAGGTACCCACTATATGTACATCAAAATATTTATAGCAGACTTCTTGTGGCAACAAAGACCTGGAAACAAAGGAGGTGGCTAGCCATTGAGGAAAGAGCTAAATGAACTGTTGTATGTGAATGGAGTGGGATATTATTTTTGAGCAAGAATATTTGTTTAAATTGACGCAGAGTGGAATAGGCAGAAACAGAGGAACAATTTACAAAATGACAATTGATGCAAATGAAAAGGTCACCCAAAGGAAGCTCCACTCATCAGAGAGTTACAATGGAAGATCCCTGGAATGGAATGTTATAATGTGTCGTCAGACACAGTTACTCAATGGTCCAGTTTTGTTTACTTGCTTTTCTTTGTCGGGAGGGTTCAGTTCCAGGGGATGGTGAAGGAGGGGGTGAATTTCCAAAAATGACCATAATGTAAAAAGAGAAGGCACCAATAACGCTTTAAAAGGACAGATGTATGCTTTATAAATTGCTGCCAATGTTATCCTTTTAAAGAAAAATCCAGGGGGCAGCTAGGTGGTGCAGTGGATAGAGCACCAGCCCTGAAGTCAGGAGGACCTGAGTTCAAATGTGGTTTCAGACCAAACACTTGATACTTGCTAGCTGTGTGACCCTGGGCAAGTCAACCCCAATTGACTAAAAATTTAAAAAAAAATTTTTTTAAAAGAAAGAAGAGGGAGTCCATTGGAAAGATGTTGCAAAGGTAGAATCCCCAGGACTTGGCTATGGGGGAGTGAGAAAAACGAGTCAAGGATGACACCTAGTTTTCAAGCCTAGGTGACTAAGAGGATGGTGGAGCCCTTGACAGTAACAAGGAAGTAAGGAAGAGAAGAGGGTTTAGCGGGGGAAAGGTAACAAGGTCCATGTTAGACAGGTTGAATTTAAGATGGCTAAAGAACCACCAGTTCAAGATGTTCCATAGGCAGTTGGAGATGTGAGACTGGAGGTCAGGAGAGAAGTCATGACTGGATAAAGAAATCTGGGAATCATGAGCATAGAGATAATCATTGAATCCATGGGAGGTGATAAGATTACCAAGTAAAATAACATAGAAGGAGAAGAAGGCCCAGGACAAAGTCTTGGGGAATGCCCATACTTAGTAGTTTCGACCTGGATGAAGATCCAGCAAAGGAGATTGAGAAAGAGTGGTCAGACAGGTAAGGAGATGAGAACCAGGAAAGAGAAGCGTCGTGAAAACTTAGAGAGAAGCAAGTACGAAGGTGGTCGACAGTATCAAAGAGAGATCAAGAAGAATGAAGGCCATTAGGTTTGGCAATTAAGAGATCATGGTAATACTGGAGAGAGCAATTTTGGTTGAGTGATGAAATTGGAAGCCTGACAGCAGAGAAAGGAAGTAGAAGAATAAGTTGCATATGGCCTTCTCAGGGAGTTTAGCCACAAAAAGAAGTGATATAGGATGATAACTCATGGGAATGGGTGTAACAAGCAAGAGTTTTTTGAGAATAGAGGAGAAATGTGCCTGCTTGTAAGCAATGGAAGCTGCCAGTATAGAGAGAAAGATCGAAGACTAATGAGATCATAGGCATGATAAAGTAGACCAGCTGCTTGACAGGACAGGATGGAATGGAGTCACTTTTGTGTGTAGAGGGGCTTGTCTTGTCAAGGAAAAGGGCCATCTTTTCATGTGAGATAGGAGTGAAGGAAGAGATAACGACAGAACGCATCTGAGTGATGTGAGAAGATGGAACGCTCAGAGAACATCCTCAATTTTTTCAGTGACATGTGATGCTGAGGAGAGGAGGTGCCATTGGGGGTTTGAGGAGTGGAAGGTCTGGAAAAGCTGTTGTGGGTGTTAGGATAGCAAATTGATTAGGGAGGTGTAAAAGGACTGCCTTGCTGCAGTGAGGGCCCAGTTGAGATTATACAGCATAAATTTGTAGTGGATCCACTCAGCAGTGTTTCATGATTTTCCCCAGCTGGTGAAGACAGAGGATGGTGGGGATAACCCAAGGCTGGGGCTTAGCAGAGAAAGATTAGTGATAAGATAAGGGGTCGAGGGACTTCCATGTTGTCAATAACCTCCTCAAGGTATAAACTCAAAAGTGGGACTCCAAGGTCAAAAGATATTAACAATTGTATAATAACTTGTCTTCCATCATTCCAAACTGTTTCCCAAAATAGTTGTACCAATTCACAACTCTACTAGCAGTGAGTTAGTATACCTCTTCTTGTTTTTTCATCAACATAGAATTTTTCCATGTTTTATTCTCTCTACCAATTTGATGGATATGAAGTGATACCTCCTAGTACTAGAAAAACCAGCTAAAGCCAAATAAGGAAAAGGAATGGGTGCCAAGCACCACCACAGTCAAAGCTAGGTAATAAGAAATCAATACGTCAAGGGTCTGCCTGTGTGGGAGCCGATTGGCTCAGGGTCATAGAGACAATAGGTTGCAGAAACGGGATATAAACTCACATCTTCCTGATTCCAGGTCCAACACACTTCTACCACATGCTGCCTGTCTGGATCACGAGAATAGTGATTATGATAGCAGCTGGTGTTTACATAATGATTTATAGCTTATGAAGACCCTTCCCATACGTTTTGTTCATGTGGTTCTCATGCTTGAAGTATATTGCATTGATATCATCATTGTTCCCATTTTACAGATGAGGCCCCTGAGGCCCCGTGAGCTGAAATGACTCTCCTAGTCGCAAGGCTAGAAAGTAACAGAATATTTTAGTCTCAAGCCTCTGGGTCTTCTCATTCCAGCATACCTGCTGGATGCTAAGGATGTACAAGGACAGATTGGGGCAATGTTAGGGCTGATCTCTCTTGTAACCCCCCCACCCCCAACAAAGTTATTAACTTTAACCCCAAGTATTCTAGCTATAGGTCAGCGTCATGTACAATCACTGTGGAGGGGAGGATACGGGGCTGGAACACAGAGGCAGAGAGTCCAGAGCAAAGTTTCCATTCCTAGAAACATCAGTAAGGTGTCACTGATAGAAGCACTTAAGCTAGAAGAGAAAATAGTTCTCCCCAAATAGTCTTTCTTTCTCTTTTTTTCTTTCTTTCTTTCTTTCTTTCTTTCTTTCTTTCTTTCTTTCTTTCTTTCTTTCTTTCTTTCTTTCTTTCTTTTTCTTTCTTTCTTTCTTTCTTTTTCTTTCTTTCTTTCTTTCTTTCTGTCTTTCTCCTTCCTTCCTTTCTTTTTCCATCTCTGTCTTTCTTCCTTTCTTTCTTTTCCTCCCTCCCACCTTTCTTCCTTCTTTTCTTTTTCTTTCTTTGCCTTCCTCCTCTTTTTCCTTCTTTTTTCTTCTCCCTTCCTTTTCTCTTTCTTCCTTTGTGTTTTTTCTCTTTATTTCTCTTTCTTCTTTCCTTTCTCTTTCCCTCTTTTTTCTTTCTGCTTTCCTCTCTCCCTTCCTTCCTTTCTTTCCCCATCTCTTTTTTCCTTTCTCTCTCTTTCTCCCTTTCTCCCTTCTTCCTTCCTTTTTCTCTTTCTTTGCTTTCCTTCCTCTCTTTTCCCTTCCTTTCTTTTCTTTTTTCTCTCCATTCTTTTCTCTTTCTTCCATTGTGTTTTTCTCTTTATTTCTTTCTCTTTCCCTCTCTGCTTTCCTTATTCCCTTCCTTCCTCCATCCCTTCCTTCCTTTCTTCCCTTAGGATACAATCTGTACTTAGCATGTTCTATGTATAGTATACTTAACTATGTGCATATCTTGAAACTAAAAACTCCTTGAGGGCAGGGACTACAGCTTATTTAATCTTTACATCTCCCCCAACACCAAGTATAGGACCCTAAATACAGTAGGTGCTCAATAAATGTCAATGAAATTGAAGTCCATTAAATTAAAGCTGGTTGTTGTTGTTTTTCCTTTAAATAGATTGTAGGCTTTCACCCTGGCAATGGAGAACCTGTAAAGGTCAACTGCCACGTTCAGGTAATGTTTCTGTCAGACCCAACTTTGGTCCCAGAAAGCTTTGTGGGGAAAGTTGCCCTTATATATTATTAAAGGCCTTAATCATGGTGCGTTTGGGTAAAGTAATGTTCAGCGGTCCCCAGACTCATCTGGGCCCAGAACACTTTAGGGCTTAAAACATAGCAATGAACTCACAGAAACGGGTCTGAGGATGGGGGTGGGAAATACCACTGACACAAGGGAAGACTTGGGTCACTGTGGAGCAAAATGAAGGAAATTAATTCTGTTTTATCCTGATTAGTCACTGGCTATATGGAGTATACCATGATTTCTTAGTTAATATTTTAGAAAGAGAGTCAATAGCATGGTGTAGTAGATAGAGAGCTGACTTTGCAGTCAAGACCTGGGATCGAATCCTGCCACTGAAATACACTGGCTGCATGACCCTAGGAAAGTCACTTAACCTTCTCAGTACCCAGGAAGCTAAGATGGAAAAGCTACTGAATAGGGGCCCATCTGCATTGGTAGAGTGAGTTTCCTCGCTAGGAATTTACTATATCTATGGTTCTCAAATTTTTTGAACCCTTAAAAATGATTGAGGACCTCTTCCCAGAGCTTTGTTTATGTGTGTTCTGGTTATCAGTATTTATGGTATTTAAAATTAAAATGTCTTAGCATTATTATGAAAATGGTTTTGATCTCATAAACCTCCTGAAAGGGTCTCAGAGACCTCAAGAGGTCCCTGGACCACGCTTGGAGGAATACTCCACTCTGCTATATGTTGAAAGGGGTTCACATGTGGCAAAGAATTGTAAATGGAGGAGATGCCCAGCAACTGAAGAATGGCTGAACAAATTCTGGTAAATGGCTCTGACAGAACACCATGGTGCTATAAGAAGTGATGAAGGGGATGGTTTCAGAGAATCCTGAGAAGATTTATATGGACTGATGCAAAATGAAGTGAACAGAACCAGGAGAACAATTTATGTAATGATAGCATTATTGTCATGACAAACAACTGTGAAAGACTTAAGAACTCAGAGCAAAACAATGACCCAACACAACTCCAAAGGACTCATGATGTACAATGCTATCCACCTCCAGAAAGAGAACTGACAGACTTAGAATGCAGATTGAAACATATTTTTTCCTTCATATTTTTTGCTTTTATTTGGACCATGGCTGAGATAGACATGTTTTGCATGACTTCATATGTATGATGGGTATCATATTTCTTACCTTCTCAATGGAAAGGGAAGAGTGAAAGGAGGAAGAGAACTTGGTACTGAAAATAAAAATTAAAAATTGGGGGGAGGGGGAAAGGTAGTTCACAGAACAAAAAAACCAAACAGACATTGAGAAAGGCTTGTGTGATGGATAGGGCACTAGACCTGGAACAAACAACACCTGGGTGTAAGTCCTGCCTAGGGCACTTACTTCCTGTGACCCTCAGGCAAGTGACTTTACCTCTTTGTGCCTCTATTTCCTCACTTGAGACCCTTCCAGCTCTATAGAGATCTAGGATCCTTTGTGGGAAATTGGGCAAATAGATTCACCTCCCCATGACTCAGTTTCCACAGCTATAAAATGAGGGTGTTAGACTAGATGGCCTCTGAGTTCTCTTCCAGTTTTAGAGCCGGGAGCCTGGATCCACCAGTTCATAAGCCAGTGCCCTGTTGGTTTTCTCCTCTCCAGAAAGGCAACAAGAGTGATCTCAAATCCATGGGCTTCTATCCAGAGGCTGGCACGTTTGACCTGAGGTACTACCCCTACTATGGCAAGCTCACTCATGTAAGTACCAGTCTCAGTCCTGTCTCCCCAACTCACCCCTGAAATGCTAACTACCAGAAGAGCCAGACTCTGATCACTGATGTCTGTGGGAGAAATAGAAGAGCCCCATAGCCTAGGACCACTGCTGGAGACTTTTCTCCTTATTCATCTTTTATCCCCTCTCCCTCCTTCTTTCTCTGTCCTACTTCCCTCCCTCCCTCCATTTCCTTCTACCCAATTCATTTCTATGAACTTGACTTCAAAAAGTTTACATCCTATTGGGGGAAGACAGTATGTCCACATATCTGTAAATACGAAATATATGTAACATGTAATCTTTGGAATTTAAGGAGAGGAAAAGCACTGTCACCTGGGAGAACAAGGAAAGGCCTTGTGTGGAAAGTAGCAATTGAGCTGAGACCTGAAGGAGCTCAGGGTTCTAAGAGGTGAGGGTGAGGAGTGAGAGTATGCTAGGCAGGAGGCACAGCTTGTGCAAAGGAAGGATGGCAGGAAACTGAATATTGTCTGCAGGGAACAGCATGCTGGCCTGTTTGTTTGGCTAGAACATATCGCACCTGGGGCGGAGTTGTGAAATCAACCTACAAAGATAGGTTAGAGCCAGGCTGTGAAGGGTTTTATAATGTCTAAGACACGAGTTTGTGTCTGATCCAAGAGTAGGCTGGTAACAGAGAACTGTACTTTAAGAAAATCTCTTTGGCAGCCTTGTAAAGGATGGATTGGCAAGGGGAGAGACTTGAGGCATAGGAAGAAGATTTCGAGGTCATTGCAATAATTCAAGTGGGAGATGGTGACCATCCTTCGTTCTCAAAGAGGACCAAAATGACATCACGACGTTGGAGTTAATGTACAGTGTGTCTGAGTGTGGCTCATTAGACTAGTATGAGCTCAGAAGGTTCTACCACAGGTCGGGCACAGATAGTCCACATGAACATTTGGAGTGGAGATAGCTCTAAATTTGCGCGTCTCACGTTTCTCTTGAGTACCACAATTCTGCTTTGCTCATAGAACACTAGGGTGTTTGTGGTATGAGTGGAGAGGAGACTCTCACAAGACTATGTTGTGGGGTCGGTGCTCTAAGACTTAGCAACTGATTGGCTACATGAGGAGGGGGTGGGAGGAGCCAAGGATGACGCCTCACTCGTGAATCTGGGTGACTGGAGGGATGGGGGTGCCCTTGCCAGAAATAGTGAAGTTCAGAAGAGGACCAGATTTGCAGGGAAAGATGAATTCCATTATGGGCGTGTTGATTTCAAGATGCTTGTCCGTATAAAGACAGTATAAAATAGTCGATCAGAAAACTGCCCTCAGAGCAGGGAGGCACGTTCAAGTCCTGATTCTGTGTGATTGGGCAAGTCACTTAACCTCAGAGCCCTAGGAAATTCTGGATGATTCTGAGGTGTTGAGCTGGTACCAACATGCATTGGTATAGGAAAATCCTCCCGGGGTGCTTCCTTCAACAGTAAAATCAAGACCCAGTCCCTATCCCCCTATTATGGGGCAGCTAGATGGCTCAGTGATGGACTTTGGAGATAAGAAGACCTGAGTTCAAATCCAGCCTCAGACATTTACTGAGACCCTGGACAAGTCACTTAACCTCTGCTTCAGTTTCCTCAACTATAAAATAAAGATAACAATAGCACCTGCCTTGCAGGGCTGTTGTGACACTCAAATGAGATATTTGTGAAGTGCTTTGCACAATGCCTGGCACACAGTAAGTGCTTAACAAATGCTTATCTGCTCCTCCTCCAGCCTAGTGACACATTCAGTTCAAATTGTTCAAGAGGTAGTTTGGTGATATGGGACTAGAAGCCAGTAGAACCCTCAGGACTGGCTATATTGATCCGAATCAAGAGCCATCTCATAGAGACAGGAAGTCAATAGCAGTCGATGTCTCTGAGAAAGCACATAGAGAGAAGAGCAGATTGCCTTGGGGAACACTCACAGTTAAGGGGCAGGATATAGATGATAATTCAACAAAGGAGCCATCAGACAAAGAAGAGGTGATGTCATGAAGATGCTGAAATGAGATAATAAATACCCAGGTAGAAAGAGTGGTCCACCATTTCAGTGCTGTGGACATCACAAGGAGGATGAAGATTAAGAAAAAGCCATCAGGTTTTTAGATGAAGAGATTACTGGTAACTTTGGAAAGAGCATTTTCAGTAGTGTGAAGAGGTTGGAAGCCAGAGGGTTCCAAAGGGTTAAGTGGTGAGAGGAGAGAAAGGGGAGGAACCTAGGACAGACAGATTTCTCAAGAAGTTTGGCAGTAGGACATAGGATGATAGCTTGAGGGGATGGTAGGAGCTAGTGAGGGTTGTTTTTTTTTTTAACGACTTGGAGATCTTTTGACCCAGTGCTACTAATATTAGGTCTATACCTCAAAAAGATCAAAGAAAGCAAAAAAGGGGCCATATATACATAAATTTTGATAGCACCTCTTTCTGTGGTGGCAAAGAATTGGAAACCGAGGAGGTGCCTGTCAATTAGGGAATGATTGAGTTGTGGTATATGTTTATGATGGAATACTATTTTTTTTTTGGCTAGGCATTGGGGTTAAGTGACTTGCCCAGGGTCACACAGCTAGTAAATTTCAGGTGTTTGGTCTGAGGCCAGGTTTGAACTCAGGTCCTCCTGACTCCCAGGGTTGGTGCTCTATCCACTGTGCCACCTAGCTGCCCTGATGGAATACTATTGTGCTGTAAGTAATTACTAAGGGAATAATCTCAGAGAAACCTGACGAGACTTATATGAACTGATGCAAAGTGAAGTGAGCAGAACCAGGAGAACAACTACACAATAATAGCATTATTGAAATGACAACTTTAGAAGACGTAAGAACTCTGAGGACTACAACGAACAACCAAGATTCCAGAGGACTCATGACGAAAAATGCCGATACAGAAGTGGACTCAGGGTGCAAATTGAAACACATTTTTAAAAAAATATGGCCAATGGAGGAATTTGTTTTGCTTGAGTCTATGTTTGTAACATGGGTTTTGTTTTTCTTTTCTTCTTAATTAGGGGGAAGGTAGAGATCGGAGGGTAAGAAAGTAGATTTTCATTGATTGAAAAATAATTTTCATTTAATTTTTAAGAAAAGGACAGGGGAGACCTGGGCATGTTTGTGGGGAAGAACAGAAGATACAGTAGATAGGGAGAGACTGAAGATCAGAGACAAAAGTCCTTAGTAACACAGGAAGACTGTGTAGCACCTTCTCAGACATAAAAGAATTGAGGTCCTGAAGGAATGGGTCATGGACATGTTTTGATAGTTGGGAAATTAATCAAGTCAACAAGCATCTTAGAAGTGCTTACTATTTGCCAGGCATTTGCAAAAAGAAAAAAAGAGCTTATATTCTATCAGAGAGACAACATGTACATATATAAATGTATATAGACTAAGTACATTCCAGATACAAACCAACTAAAGGCAGTTGGGTAGCTAAAGGTGGTTTAGGGGAGTGGGCAATAGCAGTTGGGGGAGGGAAGGAGAGGGATCAGAAGGAGCTTTATAGAAGCTGGTGTTTGAGCCTTCTGGCCATGGAGGTATTGCCAGGGAGATCAGGCTTAGGTAAATGTTTCATCAATCAACCAATCAACATTTATTTAGTGCCCACTCTGTGCTAGGCAGGAGCAGCTAGATGGCAGTGAATAGAGCACTGGGCCAGGAATCTTCCTGAGTTCAAATCTAGCCTCAGACACTTCCTAGCTGTGTGACCCTGGCCAAGTCACTTCACCCTTTTTGCCTCGGTTTCCTCACCTGTCAAATGAGCTGGAGAAGGAAATGGCAAACCCCTCCAGTATCTTTGCCAAGAAAAGCCCAAATGGGCTCAGGAAGAGTCAGACACGACTGACCAACAACTGAACACGTTCCAGGCACTGAGCCACACAGGAGAACAATAGGCAGCTCGGGGCAGAGAGAGGACCATGGAGGAACAGGACAAGGGAACAGGAGCCAGGACTAGGAGGGTCTGTCAGGCTCAGTTGTACCAAGGCCCAGTCTGGGATCCACTGAAGGACTTGGCTTTCAGTTAGAAGAAAGATGTGTCAGAAAAGCTCAGGGAGAGGGATGGAATAGGAGAGAACAGGGCTCATCTCCCTGACTCTGATCACACATTGCTGGGAAAAAACCCTCTTTACTGGAACATGGGCTCCCATACAATGATCACACTGTGCACTGGAAATGCGACAAAGCACCCCTTACCCAGAATGTTTAGAGAGCAAGAGATTCTTGGGGAAATTTCCAGTTATGTGTGGGTTAAAACCGAAATACTTTTGATTCTCTCCCTTCTGAGTCGAAATCTTTCTATGAAACACCTGAGCCCATGGGAGGTAGTGAGGCATGTTATCTAGGAGTCGAGAAACCCTGGATTCAAATCCTGCTTCTAAAGGTGTGACCTTGGCCAACTCACTGACCCTCCGTTTCCTCCTTTGTAAAATGAGGGGGCTGGATTAGAGGGCCTCTGAGGTCCCTTCCAGCTCTAGAATTAGGGCCCTAGGTGTGACCTTGGGCAAGTCCCTTCTCTGGGCCTCAGTTTCCTCCTTTGTAAAATGAAGAGGCTGGACTAGATGGCTTCTGAGGTCCCTTCAAATCTTCCATTTAGGATGGATGCTATGCTGTTATTTCCCTGCCTCAGTAAGCAGGGTCTTTAGATCATTGCCTACGGATCCCATAGGACCTTTTGCCCATCCTTCTGCCCATCATCGATACCTGTCCAGGCCTAACGATGGAGATGGGTGGGTGCTGGGTTCTGGACTGAGTGTACACTTAGCCTGTTGCTCCCCCTTCCTCTTAATTCATTCTTGAGCTCTCCTCCTGCCTGCAGGTCAACTACACATCCCCACTGGTGGCCGTGCACTTCACGGAAGTGAAGAAGAATCGAGCCGTGACTGTGGAGTGTCAGCTGAAGGGCAAAAACATTCAAAACAACATCACCAACGACCGGTTCGTGGGCCGGGTGCTCTTCACACTGAATATCGGCGGGTAGCTGCTTTGGCTTGGGTCCCTCCCCACTCCCAGCCCCCTGATGGTTCCCTCACATGCCACCGATAGCCACCAACACCCCCCCCCCATCCTCATGGAGGACACAGTCACAGATCACAGCACAGACAGAAAGTGCTCTCCATCACCTTGGGTTTTGAAAGGTCACCCTGGTGACCCACAAATGGACTTCCATTTCCTTTTCTTCCACTTAATAAAGAAAGAACCACTTGTGCTGTTAGTGATCAGACCATAACATCAATACAGGCATGTGCCAAACCCGGGGTAACCTTGAAGAAGGCTTTATCTTTGGAGAAAGCCATGAGGGGGTAGCCTGGGGAAGGGGGAAGCAGGCCAGATCTGTAATAAAGGCCTTGGGTTTGAGTCTGTCTCTATCACTCAGAGCCCCATGGGAGGAGTCGAGGGAGTGGGGCTCACTGGAGCCACTAGCCACACAGGCAATGTCCCATGGTGATTAGGGTCCTGAACCTGGAAGATCTGGGGTCAAATACTGCCTCAAACACTTGTATCAGCTGTGTGACTCTGGGCAAGTCCTTTCTCCTGCCTTTATGATTTCCTCCACTGTAAAATGAAGGGATTAGACTAGATTTAGCTCTCTGAGGTCCCTTCAGCTCTGGATCTTGGAGCCTAGGTGTGACCCTGGGTAAGTCTTAGTTTCTTCCTCTGTAAAATGAAGAGGTTAGATTATATCTAGGCCTCTGGGGTCCCTTCCAGCTCTGGTTATATGCTCTTACGTGTGACCTTAGGTCCCTTCCCCTCCCTGGGCCTCAGTTTCCCCCTCTGTTAAAATGAGGGGGTTGGACTAACTGGCTTCCAGCTCTAGAATCTAAGGTTCCCATGATCTCTGAGGGCCAGTCCAGCTCTGACAAGTTCTGGGGTTCTTTGTTTTCAGAGGGGAAGCCTAGAACACGAGTTTACACCAGGATGCTGGTTGATAGCTAGCTATCAAATTCCTGGGCTCGTGGGATTTAGACCTTCTAGCTTCTCAGTCCATTGGGCATGTTGATTAAGTAAAATCTGAATGCCTGAGATGCAGCACAAAGCTCTGTAATCAGAGGCTGCTAATAATGACTGACCAGCCAGCTGACCCTCAAAACTTTTCCCATTTGGCTCCCAGCATCCTGAGTCAGAGATTGGTATGGGGTATGGTGCTCAGAGTGCCAATGGAAGGGGGACCTTATAGCTGGGCAGAAGTGGGTGGTAGTGCCAGCCAGAAACTACTTGGGGCTGGAAACTGAGCCCTCAATGAGGACTTCTGTAAGAAGGCCTTCCCTCAGCCAACAGGCTCAGGGCTAGCTGGAGGGGGTGGGCAAGGGGGATGGTCTGGTGGGCCTCCAGCTCCTCCCATCACAGGAACTGAAATCAGGGCATAACAGCTGGCCTATGGCTCTGGCCAACTCATGCTGATCCCAAAGCCCATTCTCTGGTTTGGGGATTATCTAGACAGATCGTGGGTGCTTCTCCCCTTTCCTTCTACCACCTGCCATTTCAATGCCTTTGGCTGCCCCCGCCAGGTGGTGGGCTGAGCCGAGGAGCGGCAGCCATAGCCCCAGACAGTCAGAGTAGAGATTGTGGAGCAGCTGGGGCCTTGGGAAAGAACAAAGCCTTGGGATCCTATGTGGATTGGAATTAGCCATGCTGCTATAGCTCCTGTTGCCCCCTAGCATGAATGTATTGATAAGCAAAAATGAAGTGGAAGAGTTTGGAAACTGGGGAAATGGGGAAAGGGAGGGCAAAGCGGGTTTCTGCCTTAAAGTTCCATCTTTATCATCATCATCATCATCATCATCGTTAGCAATAATAGCTCAAATTCCTAATACCCTTTAAGAAAAATTGTAATAGCCCTTTGAGATAAGTAGAACAGAGATTATTATTCCCACTTTGCAGATGAGGAAACTGAGATTCATGGAATAGAAAGGACTTGTTCAATGTCACATAATGAGGAAATGAGCCAGCATTTAAAACTAGGCCTTCTGAGTCCACTTCTTTCTATCCTGCTATTTTGGAAACATGGAAAGCCATTTTGGAAAAACAGAAGGTACCAATGCAAATCCATGCATTCACACAGTCCCTTTCTGCCACAGTTAAGGCCTAAGCTCGAATCAGAAAGGATCTCCCAAAACATATACTCAGAGGAGTGAAGAGATGGACTGACTTGAATTCACAGTGGCTGGCTTCACACCAGGACCCTCCCCACTCCCCATTCCCCAGTTTAAAATGCATCCACCCTTCAGAATCATACAGTACATATAACCTGCCTCCACATCGACTAAAATACTATATAACTCAAGACTGACACAACCAATTCAACAAATATTTATTAAACAATCAAGTGCCTACCGTGTGCCAGGCATTCTGCTAGATGTTGGGAAACACAAAGACAAAAATGAAACGGCCCCTGCCCTCAGGGAGCTTATATTCTATTGGAGGACTATAACAACTAAGTAAATACAAATTTTATACAAAGTATTTTCAAGAGGGAGAAAATACTGATAATGGGGAAGGGGCAGGTGGGAGGAAATCAGGAAAGGCTTCATGGAGGAGGTGGCATCTAAGACATACTAAGAAGGAAGTTAGGGACTCTGGATCACAGAATCACCAAATGTTAGAGTCAAAGGGGCCTGGAAGGTCAGCAAGGCCAACCTGTCTGTCCAGTACTGGAACCAGACCTCAACAACACCCCCAAATGGTGGTAACCCAGCTTCTCTAGAAGCCCTCCAAACATGATGTCTAACTCACTAACTCTTCCTCCCAGAGCAAGCCCTTCCATTTTGGGACAATTCTAATTATAATCAAACCTAAATCAGCCTCTATACCTCCCACCCATTGCTTCTGGCCCTGCCTTCTGGGGCCAAGTGGAGCAATGCTTGTCTGTCTTTCTTATGATAGTCGAGACTCAACTCTATTGGTTCAAGGTCCTAATATACCATGCAGTTCATTCAATGTGAGTCTCTAAAATATATACATATATACATGGGACATGGTTTGCATGGAAGAATTGAGGGCAAGTAAGAAACATGTGTCCACACATTAATTACCAAGCTTGTATTTCAGGAGACAGAAGAAAACCCGGCTGAGCCAAGAGTCATTCTCTTTTCTCCACGTTCCTTTCAGATGTTAGTGACAACCATGTTCTGACAAAGAACTCTATGCAACCCAAAGATGGATAGGCAGCTAGGTGGCTCAGTGGATACAGCCCCGGACCTGAAGTCAGGAAGACCTGAGTTCAAATCTGGCCTCAGATACTAGCTGTGTGACCTTGGATAAATCACTTAACCTCTGTTTGCCTTGGTGGCAGCTAGGTGGCTCAGTGGATACAGCCCTGCGTCTGGAGTTAGGAAGACTTAAGTTCAAATCCAACCTCAGACATTTACTGGCTGTGTGACCCTGGGCAAGTCACTTAACCCTGTTTGCCTTAATTCATTGGAGGAGTGGCAAACCATTGTAGTGTCTTTGCCAAGAAAACCCCGTGGACAGTAAGGTCCATGGGGTCACAAAGAGTCAGACGTGACTGAACAACTAAACTCAAAATTCCCAACGTTCATCCCGTGGTTTCCTTTCTTCAAGCATCATTCGTTATGGGTAAAACCTACTTTGGAAAGAAAAAAAGGATGCTTCCTCAAGGGTAGGAACCTTTTCATTTCTGCCTTTGTATCCCCTAGAAACTGGCAGAAGCTTGTCCAATTCTTCCATTGTGCTGAAAGTTACAGGCTCAGAGCTAGAAGCCACCTCAAAGGTCAGCTAGTCCAACATCTCCCTCCCCATTTTACCCAGGAGGAAACTGAGGCCGATGAAGGGAAGGGACTCGTCCAAGGTCATACACAGGATCATAAATTTAGAGCTGGAAGGTATCTCAGAGGCCATGGCCAACTCCTTCCTTCTCCAGATGTGGAAAGCAAGGCCCAGGGAAGGGAAGTGACTTGTCCAAGGTTATAAAAGGAGCATCAGAGTTCAGCTTGAGCCCAAATCCTCTTAAATCCAGGGACATGCTTTTTCCACTGTACCAAGAGGGGCTTAATAAGTATTTTCTGATTGACTGGTTTTGTTTTTTTTAAATTCATCCATAAAGTGAACACTCAGTATGAAAACACTAGCAAATGGGAAAGGAGACAGGAAATGTCTCACTGACTGCTTTGCCCTCCCGTTGTAACTCTATTTGAGAGTAATTTGAGATATCCTTAATGATAAGTCTGTGGTCAACTCAGTGTGGAAATAAACTCTGCCTTGCTTGCTGCATGTTGCTTAGTGAAATCACCAACCATGTCTAAACTGAAGCCAAGCCGGGGATAGACTTGCAGAATAGAATTCATCTAAGTCTTATGTTCCCTAAGAAGACCTTAGATCTCCCCCCCGACCCAGGCTAACCATAATCAGGAAGAAATACTTTAAAAAAAAAAATTTCAGGGCAGCTAGGTGATAGAGCTCCGGCCTTGGAGTCAGGAGGACCTGAGTTCAAATCTGACCTCAGACACATGACACTTACTAGCTGTGTGACCCTGGGCAAGTCACTTAACCCTGATTGCCTCATCAAAAAAAAGCAAAAAAAAAAAACTTTCCAGCCTCTCTCCCTCCCCCAAACACCTCCACAACATCTGAGGAACTATTGAACATCACACAGAGACAAGGAGGTAGTGTAGGCAGAGCACTGCACTAACCTGGATTCAAGTCCAAGCTGTCATTCATTAGCCAGGTGACCCTGGACAAGTCTCCCTGATTCTATGACTTATAAATGAATTTTTCAGATCTCATGGTATGGTGGAAGAGGATTTAAAAGCAAAGGACCAGGGTTCAAATCTGGATTCTGCCATTTACTGCTTGTGTGATTTTGGGCAAGTCACTGGACTTAGTCTCCCCATCTATAAAATGAGGGGCTGGACTAGGTCAGCAGTTCTCAGACTTTTGGGGCTCAAAGTTCCTTTAGGTTCTTGAGAATTATTGAAGACCCGTCAAAGAGCTTTTGTTTATATGGGTTATAGCTATCGATGTTGACCACATTAGAACTTAAAATATTTAGTTTTGATTTCAAGGATCAACTGAAAGGGTCTCAAGGACCCCTAAGAGTCCCCAGACCACCCTTTGAGAACCACTACCTAGATGGCCTCTGAGATCCCTTCCAATTCTAAACCTATGATCCTTTGATTACTTACATGCATGTATTAGTTATGCTTGTAACCTATGGTCCAAGGTTTCCTCAAACTCTGAACTCGAATGGGGCCTCAG